GACCATATCCAGTATCATTTCTATGAAATTCTCATTGATTATTTGAAGGATTTCTTTTTTCAGGGTGTTCTTTTGGGTTTCATTGGGTTCCTTGGTGTAGTTTCTCTGGTTTTTTTTGTTGGAGTCTGAATCTGGGCATCCATTTTCTTCATTTCCTTCTGGTTCCTGTACTAATTTGTTATTGGAGGGAAAATAGTTTCCATCCTTTTTCTGTCTTCCCGTCATTCCATTTTGTGCTCTTTCTTTCCCTGTACTATGTGTAATTTAGTATAATCTAGTTTATAATAGTGAAGGTTATGATATCTAGAATGCAATAGTAAAAGAAAAAAAGAAGGCCAAGAAAGAAAAGAAAAAAAAGAAATTGAGAACTGAAGAAATTAACAAGGAGAGATAGTGTACTAATCAACTGTGAACTAAACAAACATTTAGTGTGAAAGAGCAGAAAATAAAAAGAAGAGAGAAAAAGAGAAAAAATTAAAAGAAAAAAAATCCCAGGTTCAGATGCAATAAAGTTTCAGTCTTAATAGTCCTGGTGTTAATCCTTCAGCATCCAGTCCTGGTGTTGGTATTTGAGTAGTAGCTCTGTCATTGTCTCACCAAAGGAAAAAAACAGAACTAATAATAATAATGAAAAAAGAAAAAATAATTAAAAAAATAGAAAAGATATATAAAATTATAAATAAGAAAAATTTCAGGTCCAGAAACAATGACGTTTTGGTCTTAGTAGTTTTTCTGACATTGCTCCTTCAGCATCCAGTCCTGGTGTTGGTATTTAAGCAGTAGCACTGTCCTTGTCTCTCCAGTTGTTTGGGTCAGGAGACAGTTTGTGAACCCCTATCTGCCCTGTTTCAGGCTGCAGCTCACCTGCCGCCATTGCCAGATGGCTACTGTTGCAGGGGCTACTGTTGCAGGCTTTATGTTTTAAAATTTGCTGGGAGAGCTGTCATGCCCACCTACTCCAGCATGCTTTCTTTATTCAGCGTTCTCACGGGAACCTGACCCTCCCCTGTTTTCTGGTGGAGAGTCCTACAAGCCAGCTACAGTTGCAGGCTTTGTTTAAAGTTTGTGCAGGGAACTGCCCTTCCTTTTGAAGGACTGAAGAACAGACAGTGGGAAGTCCCAAAAGGGTGATAAGTGGTCAAGGAGACACTTCTCCTCCCTAGGAAATGCCTGTTTGCTTATGAAAGGCATCTCCACCCTCAGGCAATTCAAATAAGCTATAAAATCCCACTCCCCACCCTGGCCCACGGGATCACCGGTTTCCGGGTCCCCCTGCATTCTCTAATATGCAGTCTTTCTCTTCTCTTTTCTCCAACTAAATTCTGTACAAATAAAATCTTTCCGACCTCTGCTGCTGGAGTCTGCCTGTGCTTTCATTCTCAGAGCAGGCTCAAGAACCCTGAGCATCTGAAATTCCTGCGCGTGTCATCCGTGCATCACTTTCTTCTCTGGTGGAGAGTCCTGTGTGTTGGTTACTGTTGCAGGGTTATTTTTTTTAAATTTTGTTCATTTATTCAAATGTGCATACATTCTTTGGGTCATTTCTCCACCCTGCCCCCTCTTTCCTCTTCCCTCCCCTGTCAGTTCCAGGAAGGTCCTGTTCTGCCCTTATCACTAATTTTGTTGAAGAAAAGACGTAAGCATAATAAGGAAGACAAAGCTTTTTGCTAGTTAAGTTAAGGATAGCTATACAGAGAGATTCCTTGGGTTTGTTTATTTAAAGTTTTCTGGGGGGATCCGCCACACCCACCTTCTCTGGCAGGCTTTGTTTATTTAGAGTTCTTGGGAGCCTGCCCCTCCCTTCTTCTCCGGTGAAGAGCCCTACAAGCCAGCTGCTGCTGCAGGCTTTGTCAAAGTTTGCATGGGGAACTGCTCTTCCCCTCTTCTCTGGTGGAGAGTCCTGAATGTTTATTGTTGCAAGCTCTGTGTATTTAAAGTTCGCACAGGTGCATGCCCCTTCCCCTTTCTCTGGAATTCAAGGTACCCTGCCTTCCTAGCTAAGTGTTCTTTTCAATTCCTTGTTTATTATTCAGTTTTTTTTTCCTCCAGGGTGGGGATCAGACTGTCCAGGGGGCTATGCTGGTTTATCCCAGGGGTAGATGTGAGGATACCATGTGCTGCTTATTTGCTTATCTGTTGGTTTGCATCTCCCAAGCAGGTTAGGAGCTAGCATCTGGCAGCACGGGAGCCCTCCTGGTTTTTCTGTGTAATGTGGCATGGAGAAACTACGTGCAGGCTGGAAGTTCAAGGTGTTGGAGTTTTGCTTCCTTTTGGTGTTTTTTCCTGCCAGGTGTGTTTCTAGGATCTCAGCAAGATTTTTGCTTTATGGAGCCCATGCTATCTGCTTCCTCCCTCTAGTCACCATCTTGGATCCCCCCATCTATGTTTTTTGTAAATGAAGCTGTACATGTCTTGCCTTTAAGGTTTTTATACATTTTCTAGAATGAATTATGTGCATTATAGCTAACAAGATATCTATTTTTAACATTAATTCATAGTATTATTTCATACATTTATATATTAGAAACTTATTTTCTTTTGTCCTACAATTTATATTTAGTCAATGATTTAACTGGAGGAAACAAAATAATTTTAAAATTAAGTAATTTCAAATTTCTAAAATTTTATGGGCTGGGCAAGAAAAACTAATATTAATATTTTACTTTGTCCCAGTTGAGCATATATTTTCAAGGAAATTACACACACACACACACACACACACACACATATATATAACATCTAATTGTTGAATTTTATCTTAATAAAATCAGTTCTAAATACTCTTCAGTAGTATTTATTCCCCACAACAATACATAAAATCTTTTGTACTCCAGTGTGTTATTTTTACTTATATTTGATTGGATGCACAGATAATTTTGTAGCATATGTGTGAAATGGCACAAACTCACATGAGGTATATAGAATATTCAGTCATATCAAATGAGAAAATGGATCAGTGATTGCGTGGATCTTAAGGTTAGAGCAAATGGAAACAGTATTAGATTTTCTTTCCCAGATTTTCTTGAGAATTTTTGCATCTATGTTGATCAAGGATATTGGCCAGTATTATTTGTTGTTCTCTCCTTGTATAGTTTTGGTATTAAGGTAATTCTGATCTCATAAAGTTCTTTTTCACAGAATTCTTTCCTCTGCCAATTTTTGTAGAAATTTAAGAGGAATTAGTATTAGGTCTTAATTTAAACTGAATATTTGAACTCATGCTTAAACTATGTGGTTCAGGTGATATTGAGGTAAGCATGTCTGTTGTATGGAGGTGCAAGTCTCTGGTGCCAAGGCAGTTCTATAGCATCTGGGTACCAACACGGGTCTTGGGATACCTGTGCTGCCCAAGGTTTGGGGTGTTAGAGACAATGCCTTGGCCAAAGGGTCTGATGCTAAACTGGGTTGCAACTGAGTCTCATAGCACAAGCAATGGTAGGAGTGATGTGTGCCCCTGGCTGACTCTATTGCTAGCAATGATGTCAGCCATATCTGGATCTGTCTCATTGGTATGTAGGTGTACACATGATGGTAGTGCTGGTCTCAAAGCTTTGACTTTGGGCTGTGACCTGGATATTTATCCCTTTGTTTTCTACCTGATGTTGGTTCTTAGTATGAAAGGCCCAGCACAGTGTTGTAAGACAACCCATGCTTGATTTCCTACCCTGCTACCCAGTGGTAGAGTCAAGCAAATTGTTCTGCCGCTTGAGGTTGGGGTTGTGGAGATGGAAGCCATCATTTCAAGCCAGGATAATGAATCCCAGTGGCTCAATCTACAAGTACATGTTTTCAGGTAGGGGTCTGGGGCTGTGCCTGCTCTGGGATTCACATTGTGGACCTGATACTCGATCTCAAATCTAAGGCACAGACTCAATTCCTTCTTCCTCCAGGAAACAAGATGCACCTCTGTGGGAGGTGTATGTAGGCCTCTCTTTCCCTTCTGCTTTCTTTAATTTTTTTCTTATTAGAATAAACCTAGCCTCTCTGATCTCACCTGGCTTCCTTATTTCTTGGGAATGCAGTTTGTTGCTTTAACAAGTGTTCCAAGTTCTCTGACTCTAGGAAGAGGATCATTGGAAGATCTTCCCCTTTGCCATCTTGCTCTGACTCCCTAACTTTCAAAATAAAATTCAATTAACTAAGGGGATTCTTTTATATCAAAAACTCTGGCAAATGTTAATAATTAGTTATAGTGAATGATAAATTTTATACTTTAAACATTTTAGGTCTGCATGATGGAAATCAACCACAAATAATTTTAAATAGTTCAACCACACATTAGAGAAAATACATGAAGGTATGCATCTGTTGAATTAATAAATGATAGATGTACAATCAATGGGAACCTGGACAAAACCATGAAGACATAATCCTCATATGGATAATGCATGCATGTATTTTTACTTTAATAAATATCTGGAAATTCAAAATGCATGTGGCTATTAAACACTCAACATACTCATAAAAATCAATAAAAATCTAAAGCATTAGGACTTCCAGGTGGTGGAGAAGAATTGGAGTGATGTAAACATTTCCACTTCAGTTGTGGGAATGTAACATAACCTCATTTTGGAAAATGATTTGTAAGTTTCTTGTAATTTTATGTATTCAACAAAATCAGATAATGAAGCCCAATTAAATGAATTAACATGGATAGACCAAAAGCAATCAATAGAAAAAAGAAATTTGGAGGTAACATATTCAGTAATATATCATCCCCTCTGCTGTCTGCTCTCACAGGGTACAGATACCAAATGTATTCTCTTGTACTAGGTACTTTCATTAATTATTTTACAAAAATTCATTTACCTCCTTCAAGGAAGGCAGTCTTATATAGTTTTGTTCACAGACATGTTTATATGATTTTTCAGTTTGACTGCTACCAAGAAGACCAATCTTGAAATACACATTGGGCTTCTTTGTGCTTGCTAACCATTCTTAACAAAATCAGTAAGTTTGCATCTAATTCTGATTTGTAAGACTCAAATTATTTGCAGATTTTAAGAAAACACATTGAACTTCTTTTCCCATTTCCTTTGTAGAGCATATTTTACATCTTTGTTCCTCAAGCTATAAATCAATGGATTCAACATGGGAATAACCATGGTGTAAAATATGGAAGCTATGTTCTCAGTGTCAGAGGAGTGACTGGACGTGGGCTGCACATACATAAATATCAAAGTCCCATAGAAGACTATGACCACTGTCAAGTGTGACCCACAGGTGAAGAAAGCTTTGCGTCTTCCCTCTGCAGCATTTATCCTGAGAATTGCTATAAGGATTAGCAAATAGGACAAAAGGACAACCAGAAATGATATAATCAAGTTACCACCTGCTAAGATCAGAATTATCATTTCAATATCATGTGTATCTGAGTAGAGCAAAGGTAACAAGGGGATGGTGTCACAGTAGAAATGATCAATGACATTGTAACCACAGAAAGATGAAGTAAAAATCTTTATGGTGGTTAGAAAAGACATGAATGTGCAGTAGAGATAGGTGATTGTTACCGTGACCTGACATACCCTTTGGGAAATGATGACAGTGTAGAGCAGTGGATTGCAGATTGCTATATAGCGGTCATAGGACATTACAGACAGAATCGTAAGTTCACAAGCAATGAACATAAGAATGAAAACTAGTTGTGTGGCACAAAAAGTAAAGGAAATTGTATTTTGGTCAACAACAAAATTTACCAACACTTTGGGGCCCACAGCTGTAGAATAACCAAGATCTATAATAGCCAGTTGTCTGAGAAAAAAGTACATTGGTATTTGTAGTCTGGAGTCCACCATGGTAAGGATGATCAAGCCCAAGTTGCCCATTGTTGAGCTTAAGTAGATGACAAGGAACAGCCCGAATAGTGGAGCCTGCAGCTCAGGACGTGTGGTGATGCCTTTCAGAATGAACTCTCTCACCACAGTGAGGTTATATTTTTCCATCCAGGATTATTACAAAACCTATACTGTTTAGATAAAAAGGCAAAGTTAGTAGTTTTCAAGGTTCATCAAATAGAAGATTAATTACGCAAACCTTTTGAATTTTAGATATATCCAAACTTTCAAATATAGATTATACAAAAAACACAATTTATCTAGATTTTTTTATTAGAATTGGGAGATTAATTGTTACAGGCATCTAATGGTAAGAGGGCAGATAAACTCGTAAACATTCTACTATACTCAATATCTGCCCCAAATGATATCCAGATCAATAACTTTTTCAAGTTTAAGAAACCCTGCTGATTAAAAGGTAGATAAATAGGTAAATGAGTATATAGAAATTAGAAGTACAAATACAGATAAATACAGCACATATAGCAAATATGATAAAGTTTAAATATATTTTTAAATGTTGGTGAATGATATATGAATAATTATTGTAATCTGAATTGTTTGTCATTGATTGGCTTAAAGTAACATCATTACTGTTATTAAATAGATTTTTTAAAATGACGCAGTATATTTTCCAATTACATGCTAATATTTTCCAACATTATATTATAAACACAATTACCTCTTCCTACTTTAAAATGTACAGCCCTGAAAGTCTCATGCATTTACAGGTGGCAAGGCTGAAATCTTGACACACTTGGCAGGTGCATGAATAAAAAGCTGTGTGATTGCATTGGAAATTATCTTTATATGAAGAAACCAACCAAGATACATGTGGGTGTAAGTTGATAGCTTCTATGTTTTACCATAATTTTGTCTATGCAGAGATTACATTGAACAAATAACTAAAACTCTGTTCTTACACACAAAGTAAAAATATCCTGGGTTGTTAAAATATGAAATTTGATTTAATGATCAATGTTTCCATCTATCTGGAAATAGTTCTCAAAGATCTTATAAGTATACATTTTAGTTTCATTGTGTGTATATTAAAATTTTCTTTGTCACTATTAAGGGAAAAAGATGTCCTAGGGTACTGACAAAGAAATAAAACTTGAGAAACATTTAACTGTGTTCTATCCTCACCACCATAACTATCCTTCAATAAACTGTCCTGTGTCATTTCCGGCATCTGGAATTTTTATAGGAACAGAATAAATGTCTCCAGGAAAATACTGCCAGAGTAAGATTAAAAAGCAACCACATTATAGTATCCAAGAGAAGAAAGATCCTTAAAAATTGATGACAAGTTAGGATAATCAATCAGCTTTTGCTCAATCATAATTAAAAATATAACTTTCTACATATATGTATATATATATTATATATATGTATATATTACACATTTCATTGAAGTATATTGTGTGCATGTGTGGAAATATCACAATGAAAACTATCTGTAAAACTCATATATGCTAATGAAAATGAATAAAGTATTTGACACCATAGTTGGTACTGGCAGGTGTGTTCCGAAGTTACTATTTAAAATTCAAAGTGAAAATCATTTTATAAAGCATTTTTATTCTTTAAGTGGAAACATTGACCTACCTGAATGAAGCTCTTTTTATATATGTACATGTACATTCTTCTGCTCAGGAACTTTACTTTTTTCCAGGGTTAAAATGGTGAGCAGGTGAGGAAGAAAGAAAGGATGGATGCATTCAATTTTCCCCAGTCCCTATCCTCCCATCCCTCAACTCGGTGACTAAAATTGGATAGTGTGCTGCTATATTGGATTTGTATATACTATTTCATAGAATTTTTGCTAGTGTTTTAATGAAAGTTATATAGATAAGCATTTATTTAAAATATTAGTGTTACCCTGGGTGCATTGTCACTACACCTGATATACACTTGTATGTTATGTTGCCAATCAGATATATTTTATGTAGCAGAAACTGCGGGAATATGGGTTGATCTGTGCAAATTAGAGTAGAGGTCATTGGTATTCGTTTTACATAATGATGACTCATAAAACTACCTTTGGTTAAAGGGATATGATCATTGAAAGAGAAAAAAGGTTGAAAGATTTTATAATGAATTTTATAAAGTTAGGCATTATGTTAAATTTTACTGTAGTGCCCAATACCTCAGAGACAAAATACAACACAGTAAAGGTAACATATACATGGATTCATGGATCTGATTTGAAGTCCTCCTGTGCACTGAATCCATAAAACTTCTTTGAAATATGCTATAGCAATAATACAGATAAAGACATATATAAGCAAGCAATGTAGCTGAACATCTCTAACAGCCCAAATATTGAAAAGTATAGCCTAGAAGAAGGTACAACCTTTAAGGCAAGACAGTTATGAGAACCAATATTACCTAAATTAATAAAAACAGAAATAGAAATGGCACACTTAAACTAAAAATTAGAGTGACAAGAGTCTGTAACTAAGCAAAAAGGAACCAAAAGGTGCAATTTACATTACATATAATGCTATTTACATGTAATTTATACTTAAACCATGTTACATGGTGCTTACATAGCTGAAGCTACTTGATCTCCTACTCTGTACTATGCACACACGTTTTCTAAATCAGAAGCATGAGAAAGCATGTCAGACAACATTAGATAAATGCATCAATAAATCCAATAAGTAACCACACAAATACTGTTTTTGGTATTTTTACATGGTTTAATCTATAATCATGAAAAGCTAAAATATAATTGGTGATTATCAATGTTCCTGTACCTTAAGAAAAGGTTAAAAATAAACCTTTGATCAGCATTGGAGTTTAATAGCTGAAACAAATCACTTTTTCATAGATTACTTTATCAAATGCTTTTTATTTTATTTTTCATAACTATATTCTGATAAAAAAATTTTCTACCATTTCATTAAAAAATGAAGAACAGTTATAGTTACTACAAAAGTGGCTAGTTAAAACCCTCTTAGTATTTAAGTCATGTTTTTAACATCTCAATGTGAGGAGGAAAATTCCTTTTCTTGATCAAGAGATCAGGACTAAACCTCTGTTGTGTGTTTGTTTATTTAATTAATTTATTTGGGTTTGGTTTTTGAGACAGAGTCTCACCATGGACCTCCAGTTGACCTTTAACTTACAAGACTTCTGCCTCAACCTCTAGTGTGCTTAGATACAGCCATGCGCCACCATGCCAGACTTAAAAATCAAATATATTTTCTAAGTACCCAAACACAATGTGTGTTTCCCAGATGCTTACTTTATCAACTTACTAGAAAGTAATCAGTAATTAATATAATGAAGGAAGAAGAGAGGTCTTATTGCAGCTCAGGCATCCTGGAGTCATAGAAATCACAGAGAGTGAATCAGGGATGACACATTAGATGTCAAAGTCACAGACATATGTGATCATTTCTTTAGCTATTGGTAACATAGAGCACCTCAAAAAACACTCTGTCATTATTAGCTGTTATGAAACTCTTTTGTGATTCTCCTGTGTGCTAATTTAGCAAGGGGTTTTGAGTAATATACATATATATGTATACATATACATACCTTTCTTTAATTTTAGAAGACTCTCCTTAAGGAAATGCTAAGCAATTTACTGTTATCCCCAAAATTGAGTGCATAATGAATTGCCTAGAGATTGTCTTCTAATCGTCAGGACAGTTTTTATATAACTGTTTTTTTAAATCGCTAATTGGTTGTATGAGCCAGCAATCCAATTTCTGGGTTTTGTCCAAAGAGCTGGTAACAGAACCCCAGAGTATGTTTATTGTAGTATAATTTGAAATAAGCAAGATGTGGTATTGATCTGAATACCCATTCATAGATGAATGGTAAATAAAATGTGTTTTGTAGGCACCATGAGCTGTTAATTATCCTAAAAATTATATTCTGCAGTATGTGACAATGTGGATTAAATGAGAGAACATGACACTAAGTGAAATAAACCAGTCATAGAAGGACAGACATTGAGTGGCTCTGCTTACCTGAGATATCAAAAATGCTCAAACAGAATAAAAAGCAGAACACAAAAGACTTGGAGTCAGGTGAAATGAGGAATTACTAATAAAAACACATGATGTGTCAATTATTTAAAACAAACAAGTTAAAGAAGTCTTCTATAAAACATTGTGACTATAGTTAACAGTACTCTATTGGATATTTATAGTTATTAGTAATGTGCATGTTGTGTTAAGCAAAATGAAATAATTTTAAACATGAAATGAATGAAGAATCAACGCATGCTATGATGGATGTGAATCTTGGAAACATTATACTAATTAAAAGCATCCAACAAAAATGGTCACTTGTAACAGGGATCCTTTTTGAAATATTCAAAAGAGAACAATAGGTGGAAACAGAAGCAGATCAGCAGGGGTGGAAGGAACCTAGGAGTGGGAGGAATTAGTTAAGTGTGTAATTTGTGGAGATGGAAATGTCTTAGAACTAGGTACAGTTGTGGTTACCAACACTGTGAATGTAATAATTGTCACTAAATATGTTACTTTAAATTTAAAATAGACAATTTTATGGCAAGTTAATTTTACCTCAATAAATTACATTTAAATGAGCTTGTAAATGATTATATGTTTCTTTTCTGTGTGTCCTCTTGTAGTAATATGTATTTTTATATTTTGCCCGTATGTGTATTTTTGAAAATAAAATATTTCTAATAGGTACAATAAAAATGCTTGACTTACATTAGCTTAGGATACTTTTAGTTTATTGATGATTCATAGTTAATGATCTCCTAGGACTTTCTGTTTAGAAATAACAAAATTTTATAAATATTTAGTAAACTAATCAAATTGTACAAACAAGTGTTCTGGTAAATACTAAAATTAAAATTATTTTTTTAAATATCTACTTGTTTTCATAGTAAATATTACATAGGAGTACCATTTATTTATACGTTCATATTAATCATTTTTTAATAAATTATAAAAAGAAAGCACATTATATTCCCCTCCCTCATCCTATCCAGTTTTCTTTTTTTCCAGATGTAAGTACTATACATCATTTGCCATTGGCTAACTACAAATTTATGTACTCTTTGACAAAATGTAAGTTTTAGCCTTCACGTAAAGTTTTATAATGTGATAACTGTA